ATTCGCTTTAACTTTCATATTTTTATTGTAAAATTTGCTTTTGCCCGCAGCTTCACCCGATTCACCGGGAAGATAAATAAGTGTATGAATATGACTGTATGTATGATGTTTTTAGTGTCACTTTAAATAACATACAACACAGGATAACCACCTTTCTCATAAAATTTGACAGTTAATTTCTAGAAATTAAATTACAACCGCAATAGGGACTACTCTAATTAGGAAGGAAAGCATTCCTAAATGTTATTTTAATGTCTGTCTGGTAGATTAATTTAAAATGAGACACGTATTTTTTCTTTTCTCTCAAAATTTAATACTTTCCACTATACATTATTTTGAAATATCGTGTGACGTCACAAAACATTACATTATTCTATTTTTGTAGCATTTGTGACGTAATGACGTTAGGAGGGGGACTCCTAAACTTGACGACATTTAATCTAAATATTGTTACCTTATACGAGCAAATAAAAATATGTGTCAAATGTTTTTTCATTATCTAACTTACGGATTAATTAGATTTTTAATGTTTATACCCTGGCAACTACTTGATTAACATAGGTAACATACCTTTAATATTAAAATTACTATCATCTTGAAAAAAAAGAGCATATTTAAAACGCAAAACTATAGATGAAATCGTAGGTGCAAATCGTACCTGTAATATTTATAAGAAAAAGAAATAGAACCGACCTACAAACATGGTGGTCTAATATCAATCGAACAATGAACTAGGAAATACCAACTTCATAAAATAACAGCAGACATGTCATGGAACAATATTCTTTGCCAGTTTCCTGTCAATTTTACCAATCAGTAAGTATCACGTAACCACACACACATACAAATTCATATACAGCATGTGTATAAAAATGAAGATAGTATATGATACAACAGTTTCGTTTTTTATTTGTTTGTTCTACGAACCCTCGTTATAGAGGATTTGTTGTTTGTCATTACATGTTTCTTTTCGATTTTCAGCTTCGAAGGACAGCGATGAAGATGATAAAGAGAACTAAATGAACTCTCATTGTGTTTTTTGATACTGTAGTAGCGTTAATTTGGATGATTTATAAACTAGATTCATCTTGGTGTCCTATATACATTATACACATTAGTTTTGCATGAAAGATTTAACGTCTAAATCTTATTGTAAATATTGAGTAAGTACATAATTAATATACTTCCTCTTACAATTGAACCTGCATCTATCTGCAACATTGATTTTACTATTATAAGTTGTTTTTTGATATCGTTATTATTAAACTATGGTCTGTTTTTAACAAAAATCTAATAAAAATATCAAATACAAGTCTACGTACTGATTACGATGTAGCTACGAAATGGCTACGAAACCGCTACGAGAGTGCTACAAGTTTGCTACGACCATTTAAACTGTCAAACACCAAGCGGTCACCGGTGACCGCAACCTATTGTTCTATAATTGTGTCTACAAAACCGGTACTCGACGAGTTAAATGTTAACAATTTTTATAATTCTATGATAAATAATAGATTTTAGATAGGACGTAGCTAAGCTGTATTTGATTTATTAGAGGCTAGCTCGTATCTACGACTCATTCATCAAATGTGTTCCATCATTCAGGTTTTGTGCAGACCATTTTGTATTCATGTCAACTATCCGTAGTGTTTGTATGAAATATACTAAAACAATGTCGTTGTAGATCCGCAATTGTTTTAGTTTGCCCCCGGCTTACATAATGAATGAACAATTTGATCATGTTTCGTGTATTTCGTTGTTTTTTGTTTTGTATTGTTCATAGGAATGTCTTTTAACTATTGTAATAGTTATAAATGTAATTGCAAAGTTCATTGTTTTAGAAACTTTCACAACATAATATTATGTAATATTTGAATCCCTCTCTACCCTAGGGGGAGATATTTTTCCTATTTATCATCAGTTACGTTAAGAATCTCGTGTGATAAAGGTTAGCCTATTGCCACATAGTAGGCACAACTCTAAATCGTTAAAAATTAAGAAAAGCCAAAAAGTCAGTCCTACTTTGTTCATACCCAAGAATCGAATCTCGGGTCCGATTCTGTCTTCTTGTTCGAGGCACTTTTAGCAGCGTTTAAGGAAGGCACTTTTTGTTTATTCTATGTGAGGGTTATCGACCTGTACCTTGGTATAAAGTACCCACTTTGTATAAAAACCTTTGTGTCAACTTAATGTTTCGGGGTAGATTGATGGTTTAATTAAGGGTAGATATATTATCTTCTTTATCTTTTCATATGGTATTTAGTCTGTTAGTATGTGCCTATGTAGTTGACAAAGTTTTGAGTCAGAATATTCATAAAATTTCACCGTTTAACTAAACCACTCTTGAAATTTGCTTATCTTATCGATCGTAATCAGTGTGGAAGAAAAAGCACCATAACAGTGTTAAAGTACAGATGTGTGTCATTGACTAGTCAAATAGAATTTGTACGTGATTGGGGTATTTAACTCGTCGAGTACCGGTTTTGTAGACACAATTATAGAACAATAGGTTGCGGTCACCGATGACCGCTTGGTGTTTGACAGTTTAATAATTTTAGAGAGGGTGGTATTTTTAATACATAACTGTAAATTCCCTTTTTTTAATCAAAATATTCGAAATTACCACCAAAAATACTGTATTGCATACTAAATTTGCTCATCAAATAAATCAATTATCTATATTGTTAGATCTGTAAAGCTTAACTGTTTTACTGAATGACCTTTTAACTAAAAGTAAATATAATATTTCCTAACCTAACCTATTTTGGAAATTCCGTTGTAATATTGAACAATTTGTGTCAGTAGTCAAATCAGTACTTTTGTTTTACGGTGAGTAATATGTATTTAATTTATAGTATAGTAATTTTTTTGATATGCAGTAAGTTATTAGTGGAGAGAAATATAAATTCCTTTTACAAAATATTTTAACAGACATTCATAGATTCCTTTTTTAACGGAAAAAGTTTAAAGTCATATTGCCTGCGGGAGAAGGTTTGTTAGTTATCTAAAAAAGTTTATGTAATCATACGAAAAATCAGACGCCCATCAGCTACGAACTTCATAAATCTCTTTTAAATTCGAAGAACTTGAAAAAGGACCTTGACAAACTTACCACAGATAGAATTTTTTCTGTGACATTGGTGATTTGTTCGTGGCTTACCTCGCATTAGGTAACCTAATTATTGCCTATGAAATTGTCGTTCTACCGGCCATTACCAATCAAGAATTATTTGAAATCGTAATTTTAAATTAGGTTATATTTTAACGACTGCCTCGTTGGCCGAGTGGTCGCAAATGCGACTGCCAGCCAAGGGGTCTCGGGCTCGATTCCCGAGTCGGGCAAAGTATTACTGGGTTTTTTTTAAAAAAATCTAAGTAGTAGCACGGAGTATGGAATTGTGGCCGGTATATGGCAATAGGCTCACCCCCTATTACATGGGACTCATAACATAAATAGTGAAAACTGTGTGCACCTCTGCCTACCCCTTCGGGGATAAAAGGCGTGATGTTATGTTATGTATTGGAATTAGTGGTTTGTTTTAGAATTATCATTCTGTTTTCGTAATAGTGTCTGTAGTTGAATAAATTACGTAGGTATGTCAATTTATTTATGAAAAAAAAACGACAATATTATAGGTTTCAATATTAAGATAGAAAAAATGTATAAAAAGACCGCTGTAATGCCATTGGCTTGATCTGGGCGTTCATGCAGGACCTCATGCTTCGTGGAAAGTTATCATCACTACGCTAACAAAGCGATCTTTTCCTCTTAAAGTGACATCTTAAGTTAAAATGTTTTTTTTTATTAAATTACGGTCAAAAAGTTTTAGGTCAAGACGAGCACTTAACGCCTACTTTAACGAAGTTTTAATGAAGTGCTGGTCAATTATTTACCGAGTGTGCTTCCGAAGCTCCGAAGCAACAGGCAGCCGGGTAATGTTTGCTCTCCTTTTAGCACTTAACTGCTATTTACCGTTATCTCCAATGTTCTTCGGAAACTCTTTATTTTAAACTTTTTAAAGTCTTCAATGCCTCTTTAGGATAAAAGTGGTAGTAATTTGAGCTGTTACAATAGACGCATTGATGGTTCTCTTATGTTGTGTTCGTAAGGTGTGTGATATTCCTTAAAGGTTACTTTAATTCACTGTGTTCGTCATAATGATGATTGAAAGGCAAAAAATTATATAAATGGTTCATTAACGTTGATATTATAGAGTAACTATGAAATCTTATTGATTTGGTGCTGAGGTGGAAAAGAGGAAGATGAAAGTAATAAGTTTGTCTTTCTTATTGAGAGAGAAAAATAATTAAAAATTTTCTTAGTTACAATGCATGTATGGTACTTACTTTCATAATTATTTTTGGCTATAAATCCTTATCCAAGATTAAAAGAACATTTCATTGAAATTTCTCTAAAATTTTTATTACAAAATTATACGATATTATCTAGAAAGTTTTCAATCGTCAAATTCGCTGAAATAAAAAATGGACAACGTATAAATTAAATTAATTGTTCCAATCTCTGTGACGTCATTGTCGTAAGTGAATAATAAAGAAAAAAGAAAGAATAAGAACCGATTTATTCATTAACCAGTTACAAGTATGTAAGTAAGTAAGAATGAAGTACTTATTACATAATGTTTGTGAACAAAATCTCACCTATGGAGCTCGTCTATGTACTCGTTGTAACGGGACGCATTATGACTGTGTGCAAACAATTAAATAATGTAATTTGCATTAAAACGATAATTGCTCTTACAATAGGTCACTTCTATTGCAACTCCGCTGTCGAACATTGACATCATTGTGAATGTACACATTTAAATAAAAACAATTGCTCTTAAAGCTGCTATGGAGGATGACAAATTGGGCAACACAGTGATCCACGTCCGACGATAACCTCTCCAGCCACTCATGCATGGATGGAAAAAACTAATAAAAGCGGAGGCCCTTATTTTAAGGTTGAAATTAAATTAAAATAATTATTACTTACGGTAACCTCACGGTTCCTTCATGGGCATTCCCTCTTGTGGCCCATGTGAGTATTCATCTTTTACTACACCGCGGTTCATTAGATGTGGGTATCTGTGCTGTCTGCGATTAAACAGAGACGATTCATTTTATAAGCTAATTTTAAAATTAAAATACTTAAGTGACTAACCTTTATTACTGTCTTACATTCTTTTGTAACTTCTATTGATATATTTCATTCTTTATTCTAACACGTCCAAACCATATCAGCTATCGATTTTTTTTTAAATATTGTGTGTCGTGCAATGTTGCTCACGAATATAAGTCTCTAGTGTGGCTTGAGTAACTTGATACTAGTCTGGTTACCTCGTCAAACAGTCATTCATATGAGTAAACCGTAACATAAAAAAAATAAAACATAGATCAGTACACACGGCCACACATCAATCTGTACAAAACCTGGTGTCGCGTCGCATCACCTTTCCGCACATTTAACGTTCAGTTTATACTGGTGATGTAAAGCTCGATGTGTAGCCGTGTGTACTACTGAGGTCCGTGGCTGGTGACGTGGCGGTAGTTGTGAATTGCCATGATACCGTGGATACATGCATTCGAACAAAAATATGTCTAGCATTGTTCAGAGTATTTGCGACAATTTGAACTATTATTTTCGTCATAATTTTGACTGCATTGTATTCAAATGTAAGAATAAGAAAAGTTTAGTTCACATAAACAAAAAAAAAGCAATTACGCAAAATTGGGTTCTTTCTTTCATTAAAAAAATTATAATCAATACAATAAATACAATAAAATATTAAAAATAATCACACTTTTAAGAAATAAGCATGCTGTTTGGCGCTAAAAAAACGTGACGCTACGAAAACTATCGTTTTTGACAGTTCGAAAAAAGTATTGCACTTGACTAGTTGGCAAGTACCCAAGTCATGATTCATACTTTTTAGAAATGGATTTTTATTGTGTAGTACAAAAAAAAAATATTTTTTTTTCAGTTGATTATAATAACTCAGTCGATTTTTTTATTTGTACAAATGTTTTGTTTTCCTTTAGGTGTAATAAGAGGTTAAGTTGCTTACTGAGGTTGGCGATGAACTAAGTGTGGCGGTAGCTGTGCAGGAAGAGCGCGCTGGTTGGAGCTGTATTTGACAAATAGACTTTGTAGTATTTTTGTTTTTTGACCTACATCAGAGGTAATTAGATAAGGGTTCGTCTGATTAGGTTAGGTTACTTACTAGGGTTCGATTTTTCTTTGATGAACTAAGTGTGGCGGTAGCTGTGCAGGAAGAGCGCGCTGGTTGGAGCTGTATTTGACAAATAGACTTTGTAGTATTTTTGTTTTTTGACCTACATCAGAGGTAATTAGATAAGGGTTCGTCTGATTAGGTTAGGTTACTTACTAGGGTTCGATTTTTCTTTGATGAACTAAGTGTGGCGGTAGCTGTGCAGGAAGAGCGCGCTGGTTGGAGCTGTATTTGACAAATAGACTTTGTAGTATTTTTGTTTTTTGACCTACATCAGAGGTAATTAGATAAGGGTTCGTCTGATTAGGTTAGGTTACTTACTAGGGTTCGATTTCTCTTTGATGAACTAAGTGTGGCGGTAGCTGTGCAGGAAGAGCGCGCTGGTTGGAGCTGTATTTGACAAATAGACTTTGTAGTATTTTTGTTTTTTGACCTACATCAGAGGTAATTAGATAAGGGTTCGTCTGATTAGGTTAGGTTACTTACTAGGGTTCGATTTCTCTTTGATGGTGTAGCGGTAGCTGTGCAACAGGACCGCGCTTGTTGGAGCTGTATTTGATAAATAGACTTGTAGTATTTTTGTTTTTTGACCTACATCAGAGGGAATTAGATAAGCGTTCGTCTGATTAGGTTAGGTTACTTACTAGGGTTCGATTTCTCGTTGATGAACTAAGTGTGGCGGTAGCTGTGCAGGAAGAGCGCGCTGGTTGGAGCTGTATTTGACAAATAGACTTTGTAGTATTTTTGTTTTTTAACCTACATCACCAGGGCCGTCTTTAAACTATTTGAGGCCCTGGGCACATTAGGATGATAGGATTAGGATCATTATTCGTCTGATTAGGTTAGGTTACTTACTAGGGTTGGATTCCTCGTTGTTTAACTAAGTGTGGCGGTAGCTGTGCAAGAGGAGCGCGTGTGCTGTGCTGATACCTGTATTTAAATAGAGAGACATCTCAGTTGCAGTTCTTGTTGCCGAATACCAGAGTAGAATAGATTTGCACCACCCGACCCATACTGGTTCCAGAAGTGTCATAAGAGCTAACTACACCTTTAAACAGAGACAGGACAGTAGCGCTTTCTGATGAAAATGTTCACTCTAATCCCCAACCCGCCTCTCAGTACACTATGGTAAACCTCCTTATATGTAGAAGAGGCCCATGTCCAGCAGTGGACTGTTACAGGCTGTTAAGGATGATTAGTTACTTGTAATTAATTAAAAAGGTTCCTTATTGTATTGGACGCGGGCGCTGTTGGACTACGCGAGATTTACGTTGTGAGGGTAACTGGATGAGAGGAACTTTGCGAATTCGTGTTGCCATGTCCACAAATAGATATTTATGAACGTTTTATTAATAATATTTGTATAATATGCATTAATTCCGATTGAGTTTCGAAATTGGGTAGATTGATACATGAAAGTAAGAGTATTTAAAATGTGTTTATAGCCACCAAAGTCAGTGATGTCATCTATGCCAATAAATCAGTATTTGTATAGTAATGGACATTAAACGAAGCGGTGAAGTTTGGATGGTAAACACGGCCTTATTGTCTATGTGTATATGGACCGTAGGTTGCTTTTTTATGGGATAAGCCGGTAAACGAGGAAATGGTCCTGATGGTAAGCAATCGGCGCCGCCCATGGAAGGCGTTTACAAGTGCGTACCGACCTTTTGGGAATTGGGAATTTCAGGAATGTTTGGTATTCGGGGATTGGGAAGACTGGGGAGGGTGGGTAATAGGACCTCCGGTATCCTCACTCACACGACGAAACATAACGCAAGCGTTGTTTCAAATCGGTTTTCTATGAGGCGGTGGTATTGCTCCGGTCGAGTGGGCCCATCGAGCCGAAGGCCCGAAGCATGGGTCTCCCCACGCTTAAAATGCTGCAGCAAATAGGCCTGTAGACCTAGACGAGAACTACTTTTTTAATAAATACTATTCCAACGTGAATTTATTGGTTTAAGTATTTGCATTTATAAGAATTTTAAATTATATACCTAAAGTTGAATGTTCGTATGATATCAATAAATAGTATAAAACAAAGTCGCTTTCGCTGTATGTCCGTATGTATGCTTAGATCTTTAAAACTACGCAACGGATTTTGATACGGTTTTTTTTAATAGATAGAGTGATTCTTAAGGAAGGTTTATATGTATAATACATGCATATTGCACCCGTGCGAAGCCGGGGCGGGTCGCTAGTAAAAAATAAAAGTTTCCACTAACCTTAGATTATTGTCACTAGTATAGTTAGCGGGTGGGTACTTTGTGTATATTGTCTTCGATGATTGTCTTAAGAAGTCGCTGGTTACCGGGACATGAGGCGTATATCCTACATTCATGCAACTTATGAATTCGAGAACAATACATAACGAAATTGTTATAAATATCTATTGTTTAAGCGTTTCATACAAGACTTGCAAGATCCAAATTAATGGAAATTGCCTAGATATCTAATGTAATTAAAAGCTAGACTTGTTAATCAGAAATTGCAATAGCCTCGTGCAAGCCTGGTAATCGATGTTCACTCCTTCTTCGTCCAAAGAGAGACTCTTTAGTTAATGGTGGGTCTGTAACTTATTTTTTTTACAGACAACGTTGCCTCACACTAGGATTTTCTCCTGTGTCGTGGGTGCGTTTACAAACATACAAGTTAACATACACATTACACCCAGACCCGGAACAACAATTTGTGGATCACATAAAAAAAAGTTCCGTGCGGGAATCGAATCCGCGACACGTTGCGCGGCAGTATGTTGCCCAACCAACGCGTCAACCGATTTTTGATATTTGTGTTTGTACTATGTAAAAAATTGCTCGTATATTACTAGTAATTTAATGAACAACTTTCGACTTACCTTCAACATCGTAGAGTCTCGCTTTGTGACCAGAAAGAATTATATCCTGTAAGAACCAAAATATATTGTATGGATTTATGTTGATTTCTAAATAAAAGTGATGTAATCATCATCATCATCAATCTATATTATGTTCACTATAGCAAAAACGCAAGAAGACCATAACAGTAAATATAAATAAAATAAAATCGGCATGCCTGGGTTTGTTTTATTCAGATACTTAACAATTCCTTAATATTATACACTATTCATATGTATGTATCTACATTAGGTAAACAGAATAGCACTGGGCACATATTTCATAAATTTCGGATTAAGCTTATGTGTTTGTGAAAATATTTGAAAGTTCAAACTCTAGTTTTATTAACATAGATGACAGTTATTAATATTAATATTCACAGTTTCATCATTCGTATAGAAGTGTTAACTAATGTCTATAATGGTGAATAGTGGCTTTTCTATTGCCTAACCCTATGTATTAATTAAATTTTAGCGAGCGTCAGATAGTTTATTTCTTTTTCTGTAGATTTTTGATAGCAAAAGATTTCGTATAATGAACTCTCTCAATGCATTTTGTTTCCAAACACAATGTTGTAATCGCTTGTAGCAATTTTGTAGTAGTTGTTGAAGCTTTACGTTTTGACCAATTTGCACTGAATTACACAATTTTACCGATTATGATATCTTGCTACTTATTTCCCTTGAGAATTGTTTATATTGTCAGCTTATTTTATTTGTCAGTGTTGTTAATAGTGCACAAGAAACATCTGCTACGATGTATGCGTATCTATACGAAAAACAATTCTGAGTCTTTGCCTATTAATTGTGAAGTTGTGTGTATTTTCTACGGGTCTGGTCTGAAAAACTTATCTATCTAAAGGCACTTACTTAAGTGTACTGTACTGTGAACTACTTAGTTCTTAATATTGGTTTTACTGTTGTTGTCGTTTTGTAATTTAATTTAGTAAGTGTTTGATTGAGGGACCTTAATAGTTTTCGTCGATGTAAAGTAGGTATAGATCTACATTTGCAAGCAAAGTTTGGTGAAATTATTATTAAGTTCTTACCTCGTAAGGATAAGCAGAGCAGCAGATAAACAAGGTAAAACAAGTCGCAGCCTGCACTATGCTTGTACTCTTCATTATTTCTACACTTCTTGAACTGCACTAACGACACACACCGAGAATGTATTTATACGGAAGTCAGTGGCACCCAATTATGTGCAACATTAACATATTATTGCAAATTTTGTTTTTCAAGTGTTAATATTGTAAGAACGATGTTTATATAAATATCAGTTATGCTTCAGTGTATCTAAAGTCGAAATTATTGTATTATTTAATTGAAATTATTATTTAATTATATTACTTAAATGATACCTACATTATGTTAATAATGGTAAGGCAAAATTAAGCATATCTATTATATGATATGTATCGACCATGTTGAAATAGAATGACTTCGTAACTAAACGTACTAAAATTTATAAAGGACACGTGTGAAGCAAAAGGGAGGACATCAAGCAAGTTCTAATTTCTGCAATACATTGTCGACTTTGTTACATAAATAAAAAACAACTCGCGAATGAATTACGGCTTATAAATATTGTTTACCGTCCGTAACTATCGAATGCTACCACGGGTATGCTAGGTGGTGGGTAAATGCGGTGTATATTTGTACACTAACATTGTGTAAACATAACCTCATTAGAGTTTAACCGTGCATTTAATATCGACATCGATTATTTAATTCGGGTAATTTTATTGTAGCTCCTCCGAGCAATGGGCAGCAGGAAGATTGAATCTAATTGTGATTGTCTAGAAAATAGGTAGTCGATTAGGCACCTCAGTAGTTATCTAATCTTTAGTGCCAAGACCTTTTAGGACCAAGTAACTTTAATGGACTATTTTGCTATGTAAACCACAAGGAATACTTGACAAAGTGCCTAGGAATAAATGTTACAATGTAGTGACCTTATTTATATCGAAAATAATAGTCGTATTTGCAATTTATTAAGTTCTATTGCCCAGTTATTCATCACATTTTTTGCTTGAATGTCACAATAGCCAGAGGATTTTATGCACCATATGTATATGAGTTCACAAGGCGAATGTAAATTGTACAATGTCGCACAAATTGCAACATACCACGGGTATTGCCTGCATTACGCGCATCGAATCTTACACACAAGACAAAATAGGCTTTACGTACATAAATTGATTCGGATATCAATAAGACTACAATGTTTATTAACGTTTTATTACATTTTAATCGTTCATTCTTGATTTGTTTGTTATCAAAAAACAAACTAAGTACTTTATGTCGACACGATCGTTTTTTCTAAATAAAATATTTATGTCTGTCTGACATATAGTGCAGTTGTCAGATATCATCTCGAATAGTGCTTGTGAGACCGTCTGAAAACGTGTAAATAGGGTAAGTATAAATTAACTCGTCGAGTACCGGTTTTGTAGACACAATTATAGAACAATAGGTTGCGGTCACCGGTGACCGCTTGGTGTTTGACAGTTTAAGAATTAATCCTTAATTAGGTACTTTTGAAACGTCAAAAATTGAACTGTCCGTCCGTGTGTTTGTCAGTGAAGCTAGGCGTTCGTGGTGTAGTTTCGAATGGAGAAGAACGAGCACGAAACTCCAACGTTACTCTTTTAAAAAATGTTTTTACAGTCTCATTGATACATATCTGATCCTTTACAGTGCCGGATTAGCCACGTAGCAAGAGTAGCAAATGCTACGGGCCCCGCGGATTGGGGGGCCCCGCGCTCAAATAGGTATTTCGTAATAACACCACTTCAACAGCAAGACTTATGAAGAAAATGTTTTGTTTACAAAACTACTACCAACCTACATGTAATTTGATTTTTTTTCTTAACGAAATTAACGAAAAAAGACAAATAGTCGGTATTTTGTATGTGTAAGAAAAGGAAAGTGACTATTTGTTCGCTTGGTTGGTGCCATTGGCGGGCGAACCGAGCCCGATTTGAACGAATCAAAAATGAATTAATTAAGGAACACTATGGGCCAAGGACGTCTTAATCATTTCACAATGTTGAATATAGAGCATGACTTGCTTAAAGAAGTCGATATTGAAAGTGTAATCGCTAAATTTGCCCATAACAAATCCAGAAAAGTTTATTTGTAACAGTTTTGTTTTATGTAATAATACCCTAAATGACAATGACCAAATTTGTATGGAGCGTGGTGCCTTTTTATTTTTCGCGGCAGTTTATTGGATGTGTAAAAACTGATGCAGAATAACATTACAAACAAAAAAATATATGGGGTCTTATATCAAAAACACAGTCCAAACCGAGTTAAATCAGTTCAAAGATGTGAAAATAGTGCTATATTATTCCTGTTATTTTGTTGATGGTGACCGTACACAACGCATATTTCTTCATTTACTTGTCAGAAATATTTTGTAATAAATGTTTATAAACGATTTCAAGGAATATAGTAAAGCTTATAGTGGACTTCTTTTTAGGGTTCCGTACCTCAAAAGGAAAAAACGGAACCCTTATAGGATCACTTTGTTGTCCGTCTGTCCGTCCGTCCGTCCGTCTGTCAAGACTCTTTTTCTCAGGAACGCGTGGAGGTATGAAGCTTATATCAATTTATATCAATTACTCAGGTCTACTGTCCCTTGAAGCTGTGAAAAAATCAAACTTCTAAGCCAACGCAATCAAAAGATACAGCCGTTTATGCCGCAAATTTTCGACACTTGCAAGGGAATCAAAACCTACAGGGTGCTTCCCGTGAACTCAGAATCTTGAAATTTGGTACGAAGCAACGTCTTATAGCATAGATAAAGGAAAAATTACGAAAACCATAAATTTTTAGTTACATCACATAATATATATTTTTTTAATAATTTTAAACTTACTACCCATTTCCTCATAAACGCGTAGAGGTATTAAATTGAAATTCATACCAAATACTCAGGTCTATAATACCTTTAAGCTGTAACAAAATCAAACTTCTATGTCAACGCAATCAAAAGAAACAGCAATTTAAGCTGCATATTTTGAAACTCGCAAGTACTCGCAAGGGAATCAAAACCTAAAGGGTACTTCCAGTCGACCTAGAATCTTGAAATTTGGCATGAAGCAACGTTTTATAGCACACATAAAGGAAAAATTCCGAAAACCTTAAATTTTTAGTTACATTACAAAATATGTCGTAATGAACGAACTTTGTAAACCTTGCAGGTTTGTACGGAACCCTCGGTGCGCGAGTCCGACTCGCACTTGT